TCACTACCCAGAGCATGCCGCTCGAAGTGCTCACCGCTGTTACCGGAATATCACTCACTTTCATGAGCAACTGGTAATTCCAATCGACCAAGTCGAGTGCACTGTACGTTGTACTTCCCACCATGGTGTTCTGACGAACATCCTTTCTAGGAATCGGCGTCTGTGCCGGGATGGTGGCAGCGTTGAGCTTATTGTAAGCATGAACGAAACGCCACTTGCCGTTTGGCTTCCGAAAACAAAACGTGGGTGTCGAATGGGACTTACTCACACGCATTATTCCTGCGTCGTGCTTCGCACGGAGAAAGGCGTAAATGACGTCGCACTGCTCCTTGGGCAGGGACTATTGGTTACGCAGTTTCCGGAATCAGCTCGATCTCACGATGCACCCCTCGGTCCGGAGGTAGGCCTGAAGGCGGGTCTTTGGAGACGACGTCTTCAAATTCCTTTGCCAAAGGATAGTACGGATCCGAGGGGATCTTCAGGATTTAAGATCAACTTCGTGCGTTCAGCACGTTCTTAACGACCTCCAGGAGAGCTTCATCCAGAAGTGACGACGAGTTTATCTCCTTCGTAGGTCTTATAATGACCGTTTCGGCCAAATTACCTGCCTTCAAGGCACCGCTAAACTATTCGAAGGACATCTCGCCCAGCTCAAGAAGAGTATACAATGCGGAAAAAGCTCGAGGATATCGTCGTCGTCTTTCTCTCTCATCATACCGTTGACAACGGTATATAGTTGCGAGCTATCGTCTACGGTAGACACACCCTAAGTCAGGTCAACGCACTGTCTTTTGCAGATATCATACAGCTTCCCCGAGTCAGTTCTTTAATGGTGTTATATCTCATATAGACCGTAAGGAAAACCCACTCGTTGTCGTCCAGTGTCCCCACTCCCTGCGCCATCGGAGCTTTGATGTTTTGAACAACAGTCGACGAAAAGCTGTTATTCCCGCAGTCTTCGTCCAGTCGATAACATGCTACTCCACGCGGTTCGCCTTTATAAGTGCACAGAGCCCCATCAGAAGGGCCTTGCCCAGGATGCCTCGGACCTCGTCTGACCATGCCACTCTTGGTATACAGCAACTGCTTCGAAACGTGAGCAGTGCTCAGTGACGAGCATCACTAGGGCCTCGCCCAGAATGCCTTGGGCCCCGTAGTCCATGCAATTGAATCGTGTAACACTTGCTGGCTATCCATTTCAGCATCGAGATGTTTTATATTACGCGTGTATGAGCGAGTATAAATCCATGGTACAGTAATTGCTTACTGAAAAGTTTGATGCGAATGAAGCGGATACAGAAGGTTACACATGTTGCGCTCAAGGTCTTTGACCTCTGATCGATCCATGGCTCATGGTGTTTCAACCATGCCATACCAAGGATGAGGTCACACCTTGTATCCAAGTCTAAAACTAAGCAGCGTTCCACGATTTCGAAGTCGAGAAACTTGACACCGAGGTCCACAGGGATCCATGGCACAATGACACAAGTCCCTGTCGCTAAGCGAACACTGACGGTGTCCCTCAACCGCGCTTCCAGCGCTTCAGCATACATTTGACTTCCCTCCGTCGTAGAGCGTCGAGCATAGTTGCTCGACACCCCGGAGTCAATCAGGATCTTCCATGCTTCTTAAAGTCCTTCACGGTCGCTTTTACAACCAGCAAGCCCGGGTTGTACAAACGTTCCATGTTCAAGAGCACGGGGCGCGTCAAAGCTGGGCCCTGCTGCTCTCTACCTCTTTGAGGCACAACATAACTTACTTCTTCCCCAGAAGGGCACCCCGCGACTACTGGGTGTTGTCGTTTGGTCAGAAGCGTGACGTCGGTTTTATGAATTTTAAAGCGCCATTTGCAGGGGACAACCAGTCCGAAAGTGACGGGTGTTTCAACTGACAAAACTTCGTCGGGTGTTTACACGCTTTCCTCCTCTTTCTCAGCATAGCTGAGATACATTGGCGCAGGCCCGCTCGACGAGCTCTGAGGATGTGCATTCCAACCGAGTCGGGACAACTGGAAGTTGAATTCGGCATTCAATGCCACATTCACCGCTCTTTCAAAAGAAGACGGATGCTCACGAAAGACTTATATTCTGGCCACGCCATTGCGAAGGCCCTCCATAAAGCCGGTAACGACCGCCTCGGGGAGAGGATCTGCTGCCATCCCGGCAATGAGAGTTCTCAACTATTAAACAAAGTCCACCAACTCCTTCTTGCCCTGTCGGGTGGCAAGGAAACGTGATCGCACGCGATATGCCTGGTTATGTGGTGAGAACACTCGCGAAAGCTGTAGCTTCAGCTTCTTCCAGGAGGAGATCGCCGCCCCAACCGAAGCACCGTACGTTAGTATTCATTCTCGCGCTCAACCCCCGCGCTTGGAGATAGCTAGCGCTACGCGCTGTTGCTCGTTGTGGAACTTGGTGGATGTCATAGGCATCTCTCTTACTCGGAGCAGGAAAATTACCCTCGAAGGACTTAAATCTTACCATGAACGGCCTAGGTCGGGAAGAGTCATCCGCCGGTCGACGGTGGCGTTATGGACGCAGTAGACGCTGAAAGCTTCTGCTGTAGGTGCTCTAACACAGCATTTTTTTATTTGAAAACACCTCCAGGCGCGCGCTTATCGCCTTGGGACCTTGCGAAACAAGGTGTTCCGGCCTCAGGTCCAAGCAGGGACATCAGACAATCAAGACCGTCCTGCGTGCCCTGGAGCAAATATGAGTATTGCTCCATCCTCACAGAGGATCAGTCGCAACGATTCAGGCATCAATTGAGTGCTATAAGTGCAGCGGGGCCGCTGTAGCTCTTTGCCTAGAGGAAGTTAGCTAAAGTTACCGATCTTACTTTATTTACATGAGCCAGTACGAGTGTAGCGGATCGCAGTCCCTACCTCCAAGAGTATTTCAAACCTTAACCAAGGCAAATGAGCCAACATGCTGCAGGATTGCTGGTAGTAATACATATTGATTAGATTTTACTATATTATTTAGATATTACTGTAGTGATTAGGAAAACCTAAAGGTTTAGATATTGGCGGCTCTGCAGCAACTAAAATACTCAAATATAGTTTCAATTTTGAGCAAAACAGTTTCTTGTTATGGTGTTGCCACACCATTGTGTAATTACATCAACTTGTGTAATCCACACCTATGTGCGGTCACACTATCTTGTGTGACCCTTCCATTCATATAAAAGTACATGTAACCCCGTTACATAAGAAATTTCTCTTTTAGTCAGCGTAGCTAAGGTTAATTGCATCTGGCGTGCTCGCAGGGCTTCTTTTTGAGCTCCCCATCAATCACTGGCGGCACGTTGGTTGCACCCACTTTGATGTAACCTCTGCCTCTTCTTCGATGAGAAATGCAGGCCTCCCACGACTCGGTTGCTGGTTGACTACGAGTGCTACCAAGTTCAACGAATTTGCTGTGTACTTTGCACGGAGGGAATTCTGTCGCTTTGAGTCGCGTTGACAAGCGGATATTGGTTGTGGTCGAGCGCTCCCACCAGAAACGTAACCGAGAGCATCTTGAGTAATTGACGCTGTTAGTTCGTTTCGCTATTTCAAGAGTACATTAAGACTAATCTCAAAATACATACGTTCTATTATCTCCGAATATGAATCTGTCTTCATTGTTTAACATGCGGCTAGCGCTCCTCGGACTTCTACTATTTGGGTTTGACATCTTCAAAGATACTTCTTAGGTGTATTTGCTGTTCCAGCCACGTACTGATTTCTCGTTAAAGTGTAGCCATACCATTGTGTGATCACACCATCTTGTGTGACCCACACCCTTCCTACAAAGGCAGGTGAAAATATTTTTTTCAATACAATCGCGCAAAACATGTGTTAGGGATTATATATTACACTAAATTACAGCACTTACTCGTTACCCTTTTTTGGTGATTAAGTTCGATATATTGACATTGAAGATTTCGACGCTCACGATAAGCGAGGGAACTAGATGACCATTCGAAGTGGAAGTGTTCGCAAAAGTCACATTAGTTAAAACAATTCGCTCTCTTATAATCGCGTTTGGAAACAGACGCCAAGACAAAGGATGCTGGAATGTCAATTAATCGCCTCTTCTACCAGAATACTGGGTTGACAGTTGTTTTACGCTCAAGCTATTCTTTCGTACAAAAGGCAACATTCTCTTGATTGTCAACTCACCATCGTTATTCGGCTTTACTTTTTTTCTTGCCAGGGGTGGCGGCAAGGCGCTTGAGTGTCAAATGGCCGGACCAAAAATTTACAGAGCCCAAAATGCTAAGGTAGCTTAGGGTACGGAACATGGTCAGCTCTAGCCAGTAAAGACCGAAAAGAGTGAATATGCCAGCCAGAGACGCCAGAAATACGCAGCCGAAAGCAAAGACAGGTCCTTCAAACAGGCGCTTAACGTTGAGTCCAAGACGCGCCACAAATACAACGAATAAACCCAGAGGGGTCAGGACGGCGCCCAAGAAGGCCATAGACACGACCACGGGCGGGCGCGGGTCCTCTTGACGCATAACGTGTTGAATCACGGGTAAAGCCTTGAGAGTTGTGTCACTTTCATGAAGAAGCGGCTTTTTGTAAAGCGGAGAGGGTGTTTCAGGCGGGGCGGCGACAAGATGGAGCTCAACATCACCCAAATCCCACAAAAGTGCTTTTTCAAAAGTTGCAGAGCCCAAAATGAGCTCTACATGATATGTGCCCGAATTGTAACCAAATTTTTTGCTGAGAGCCGCAAATTGTAGTGTCGTGCTATGAATCGATTTGGTGTCGGCAGTCAAGACAAAGTAAGCCTCCGTCTTCTCTGTTATGTGCGTAAAATGAAGAAAAGCTTGATGGGCCACCACAGGTGCCTTGTTATGCACTTGCTGTAATCGCACTTCTAATTTCAAAGTGTCTTCAGCTGCGGCGATAAAGCTCATTCCTGTAAGCTTGTCGCCAAACTTCATCTTCTTGCCATTGGCTTTAGCACTCATTACCTCCACAGCCGTTGTAATCTTAAGTGGCAGCACCTCAAAAGAACTTTCCTTAGTCGCCTCATTCACCGCAGTGACCTTGAGCTTGTACATACCAGCTTGCAGCATTTGGTCGCCCGTCAGCTTGGCCGCGAACCTGCTTCCATCTCCTTCAAGCCTCTACACCACGTCGTAAGATGATAACACGATAATTTAAATCACATTTATGGAAAGTTACCAACAGACATCATCACGTACGATTTCAGAAAGCACGACAGCTCCTGTTGTGTCAACAAGAGTCTCCAAAGTTAGCTGCTTAAGTTTTGGTTGTTTGGGGGTTACCACGACGGCCAATTCCAGCGCATCATCCTTCAATGGAACCCGCGTAGATTCCAATTTCATGTTCACGTTAAATGCAGCATCAGCTGAGAGCGACAAGAGCAGCAGAAAGCCACCCCAAGTTACATGAAGCCAAGCCAGAGATTTCATGATTTGGTTTTCTTTTCAAAATTGACCGCGTGGCACAATTGCAAAAGTATGATGATCTCGCCAATCAGACTTGACCATGTTTTCAGCCAATAATATACATGTACTTTTCAGTTCGTATTTACCGACGTATATCTAAAATTCGTTATTTTGGAGCAAAGTAAAAAAATGTAGTGCAAGCCCACTTAAAACACTGGGTGGGTGCGGACGGCATACATGACGCAGCTACATTAAATCATGGGCTTTAGCAAACCTTATGTCTGAGCACATATAACTCATATTTATTCGCTGCTCTGCGACTGCAAAAATTAACTTTGAGCAAAATATTCATCTGCGCAATCATATTTAGGGACTGGCCATTTCCTCAACAGACCGTGGATAAATGATAGATAAGCAAATCAATTCTCACTAAAGACAGATACTTGGTAAACTGTCGTACAAATGCATGACGTCAAGTCTTGACAATAAGTCCAGTTGTTGTAACGCATCGTCCCGGCGGCAGTACCTAATGTTCTAGTTGCAAACTTCAATTTACGATACACAAATATGTATCAACGTACTATTTTTTGGTACTGCAATTTGATCAAATGCCTTCAGGTCGAAATGACGGGCGGCCGTCTACGTCATCTCCTCGCCTCTCGTCATCATTTTCTTTCGATTTCCAATTCAATGAACCTGTGCGTGTGTACCCTTTCGAGAATGATCGCAATAAATCACTTGCAGCGTTGCAGTCGCTACAAAATAAGAACGTTGCGATCGTGGGGCTGCTTAGCTCCAGCTCTTCATCTTCCTCGCGTGCATTTGCCTTTGCCAACCGTATTATTGGTCGCTGTGTCTTTCGTGAAGATGTTATGCAGAATGCAACGACAGTTCAAAATACAACACTACCCGCCAGTATTCATCTATACTATGACGACGTGACAAGATGCATCTACCTTTTGGGATTAGCTCGACCTGATAGATTTTCCTACAGTACTTCTGCGGTCTCTAAGACGGAAACACTAAACAAGAATATTAAAAACAAGTCTTTGGCTCGACGACAATCCACGGCCGGTAACGAAGCTGAAGAACAACCACTGCTAAGTGAAGTGCAACGAATGCGAATTGAAACAGACGCATACGAACGCGAAATGTCAAAAATGCAAGTGCTGCTCTACTCCAGCTGTAACTTACTCATAGTGCTCAAAGAAACCGCACGAGTGACATCGAACGTTTTGAAAGACATACGTGCGTTGGCAGTAGAAAAGGCTCAACTGCAGAGTGTCGTGGCAACATCGACTAAGCATCCGAAGCGCGAAAATTTTCATTTGAAAGGTTCGTCGTTGTCGTCGCTTAGCACTGCAGGCAATGGATTTGCTCCTGGTCGATGTGTCCCCATGGTTGTGTTTGTTGTTCCTGCACCTGATGAGATGTTGCAGATGTCACAAAAGACGCAAAGTTCTGGCTCTACTCGCTCCGCGACAATCACATGTTGCAAGTCACTTGAAGCGCGTTTAACGACCTTGTTTCGATCTTTACGTGGCGGTACAGTCGGTACTTTACGTATGCGTGACGCGCTAAGTGCTGCAAACTTAAGCAAGGAACGTCGGTTGTTTAACATTGACCCAGCTCATTGCGTGGTGGTTGTTTCTAAACGTACAGTCACTACTGAAGGGCGAGTGGAGGTGCTACTTGAGAATTTTCTTTCTTCGCTGGACTCGAATGTTGGCGCCCAGGACGTCCTGAACGACGAGTCGCTGCTGCAACCTTTGGTAGATGATGACATTGGTTTTGTGCGTCTGAATCAGTATGTACAGAAATTTTTAGACCAACTATTTGCTTTCTCGCCGAGTACTGGCAAAGATGGTGGGCGAAATGAGTTGTTGAGTCCCCCGCAATGGCTCAAAGCTTTTTTCGGACTGATGAAAAGTTACAACCGTTTGCAGTCCAAGAAAAGGCAAGAAGGAAGAATTCTAGATACTGACTTTATGTCGGATTACACTGTATCACCATCACTAGCAATGTATCCCTCCAACCTGATGGATTCAACACGTTAGCATCTGGAAGAATTGTAATATGGCTACATAGCTTTAATAATAAGAAATGCATATTGTAATCAAGACATAGTGTCACATTCAAATACGTAAAGACACGCTCATCCGCATCATTTCCTTCTATCCTTCAGTCTCACAATGTTTCTTCGATCACTCTACGGCTCGCGCATGCCCCAACCGCTTCACGTACGCTAGCTATGTATGTACAAATACATGGCAGTACTGAACCTTGTTTTCGTTGCAGCCACGCGTGGATCCGCATGCATCAAGCTACTGGGAAGAAGACACGGCTACCTCTCGAGAAATTGTGCGAGCTATGGAGGAAGCAGAAGCATCAGACGCTGATCTTGGAGATGATGACAAGAAGACAAACAGTGTACTGCTGACTGGAGATAATCTGACAAGCCGCCGTCGCTCGAACACGACGCTGTCGTCGCATTTTGCAGAGCTGTTGGGAATTGATGATTTGCCTTTGCAAGATGTGGATCATCTCTGTGTAGAGAATATGGGATCCTCTCCTGTAAATACACAGTTGTCGCCTGCCGGTCTGATCTCTATCGCTGCCGCCGATATCGACGAGGCGGCCAATAATAACAACCAGAACGTACCGCCACTCAACGGGCAATTGGACTTGGCCTACATTCGCTCGCTACGTCAAGAATCAATTAAGAGTGGGATAGAAGAAAACATTACGTAAGCAGAGGTACCTTGGGTGGCTAAATTCATCACGCTCACTGTTGTGTGTCGCAGTATGATGACAGCAGCACTTCGTCAAGTTGTGGAAACTCTTCCTGCTGCTCGGACATCAGGAATTGAGGAAGTAGCAGTTGAAATTGAAACAAACAAGCCTGAGAATAATTTTTTCTCGCTGATTCATCGCCATTTTCGAATGCTGAAAATCTCTTCTTTTTTGGCATTGAAAGGTGCTGGAGACGTTCAAGAAGATGCAGCTGATTGTCAGACAAAGATGCGTTTTCTTTCATTGCTTCGTCGTATCAACGAATTATGCCCGCAGCATGTTAGCGTAGGTGATTTTCACAAAGTTTGACCTTATTTGATAGTCATGTTACTAATATTAATGCCTAAACGTGGCGCAGTCAGAAAGCTGGGATGGTCTTCCATACCCACAAATTATAGCTCTTCCGACGTTCGAGTATCAGAACCATGAGCATCACGCTGACAATAAGCAACCGGGAGAGGAGAACGGGAAATACAACCTAGACTGCGCGGTATGCCGTGATGAGTTTAAAGCAAAAGAAGAAGTGCGAGCTCTTCCATGTTTACATTTTTACCATCGCGAATGCATTGATCAGTGGCTCATGTGTCACCGCCAGTGCCCTATCTGCAAGCACGTTGTTGTCGTGCATTAAGCACGATCAAAACACCTACCTCAGAATTTTTTGATGTCAATAACTGTCTAATCTACGATGTAAAGCCATGTAAAAGCAATCCACTCTTTGTCTCATTTGTCTCATTGTGATTTTCGTGTTCTGAGCTTCGTGGAGTATACTTCGACCAGCTAAGGCATTCTTTATTCGAGCAATGTTACCTTTGGTCTAGTGATCCAAAATGCGTAGGTTACCGGTCACCACCTTGTTCTCTAACACTGTTCCATCCGGCAGGTCGATATGTGCCCCTTCATTTGCAACAAGAATTACGGTTCCCTGATTCAATTGTGACGAAGCAAAATCATGACAAACTTTTAAACGCTCGAATAAACAAAGCAACTCCATACCTCCTACCTTTAGTGTAATGTTGGAACCAAATTTAACATCGCCGGCGACAGTAAGGTGATCTAACTCCGTAATATTAGGAATTCCGTGTTCAAAGCGCATAAGATACTCTTTTACGCTCTGAAACTCGAGACCAAGCTTTACAATGGGAATCGTAAGTGTGGTTCGAGCTGGATTCATGATCAAACTACCGTGCTTTATTTGATACAAGTTCGACTGCACAAGGAAAAGATCCGACGAGGATTTAACCGGTAAAAATCGAGAGCGAGGCACCTTCAGTCCGATGAAATTTTTGAACAAATGGATTGCTTCACCTGCTGCAGTCTCGAGCTGTACAACTTTATGGTTCTTCACGGTGCGACAAGTTACAAGAGGCTCAATGTCGATGAGGTCCTGAGCCACCAGTCTCTGGATTGCACGCAGATTCACCCACAGATTGTTTGTGTTGAACGTCTCGAACTTGTTTATTGCACGAAAATCATCCAAATGTCCTGGCGGCACTTGGCTGGCTTCTAAAAGATGAGGTTTGTCTTTGTAACTTACAAGTGTGCCTCCCTGGACATCTGCGCGGGTTTTCTCGGTCACTTCCATGACAAACTCAGAGTCTTCATTAATCATATGATACAGCACGTCCAAATTTACTGTAGCCCCAAGATTGTCCACATTTGATATAAAAATGTACTCTTTGCCCTGATTTATCAAGCTCTCGAGTAATCCAGATTCAAATAATGCATTATAAACGTCACCATGACCAGGAGGAAACCACTTATCGCGTGTTAAGCGGTCGTACTTGGTATTCGGAAGAGGCAACATCGTCTCCTTGATGATGAACGGGTAACAGCTCTGATTGAACGTGTGAATACTCAGGTTGTGCATACGGTACTTGCGGATAATGCGCACAGTTTCTTCATGAGTATTAAACGAATTCATGAGCACAAGTGGCACATCCACACCATAAACACTATTCAAATACTGGATTAAGAGTAAGCATCCACAGACAAAAGCTTCGTATATCACACATGTGCGAAGGCAGCATACCTCCACTTGGCGAACGGTAAGATCAAGAAAGGACAAATCTTGTCGGACTTCTATTGCACTTTTGGGTCCTTCGCAACCCAATGTTGTGCCAAGACCACCATTGAGTTTAAGTATGACCTGCTCCACCATAAACATCTTTTTATTCTTTCCAAAGTATCACAAACATAGAAACCATAACACACTAGTTTGTCGAGCAGCTCGTGGCGCAGATTCATGTCGTTCGGGCAGCTTTCTATCGAGGTATTGCTCGTCAACATGCCGCTCGTTGGTGGCTTCACCGAGTTCCTACAGCACAAAGCAATGCCATACTCGGCTCAATCAACATTTACGATAGATAGGAGAAGATCCTTTTGAGTGTACCAATCAATGGAACTCGTCTTGACTTTGGAATACTTGCGAAAAAGTTTAAGAAAATTCTTTTTCTGGCGGTTGCCCATGAGTTCTTGCGATACCAATGCCTGCAGTCGAGAAGAGCAAAACAAGTCAGAGCTTCTTAATGATAGCTGCATTATTGATGAAGTAATACCTCAGCCATCTGATCGTCTACAGAAAACCGCGCTGGCATGTGCGTCTTATAGTGCATCTTTGCTGTCAATCCGACGGGAAAGGAGTGATCTGCAATGGACTAGAAATACGAATTGAACTTGCAAGTGCTACATATTATGTGGTATACATTACTTAGTAAAAAGCTACGTGCGACGAAACATGACAGAAACGCGACCACTACTAGCTCAATCTGTCAGCTCATCCGCAGGATCAGGAACGACGAGCTCAAGACATGTGCGGATCACCCGCTGGCAAAATCTTAATGCACCGCAGTATTATGAGACTATTTACAACACATGTACGTAGTAACCCTATCGTTTTTCGAAATCTTTCCATATGCTCATTGTGTTGTAGTGGTAAATTATTCGCCAGCCAGTGTCGTGGTATTTGGTGGTTTATCAATACTCATTGGCGTGTTCGTACTGATCCACACGCAGCACCTCGTTGCATCGGCAGACCATTTGCGCAGCTCAATAGGCATAGTGGGTCCAGCATGAAAGTGATGGTATGGTACCTATAGGCTCGAACAGCGCATCAAAAATTTCTTGCGACTTGCTGGAGAAGCAGTGGATATACATGTAGCGATCGAAGAGTACAGCTTACATATAAATTACGCAGACAAAAAGTTATTCTTGGGATCTTATTAATGGTTGTATGTTGCATTCTATTGGCTTTTGATTATTCGCTTCACTTATGGCGCTAGACTTTGAAGGCCCAACAAAAATAAATTCAACGCCTTAGATTTGTCATCTGCATTATTTCTTAAAATATAATATTACAAAAAACAATCAAAAAGTCTTGAACTTGGTAGCCATCGCCTCATTACAATTTTGACGCTTCAATACTTGCAGTGAATATGAACCAAGATTATGCAAGAGAAGCAGATCGAAAAAGCGCAAAAAAGAAGAAATTGAAAAGAAATTATCAGATTGGTGGGCTATCCTCTCCGATCCAAAAGTTTAATTTCGACTTGAAAACCAATGCACGATCAATCTTGTTAGTCATCGGCCGTTTTGGAGTTTGTAGCATGAATGAGTAAGACCTGAGCCATTGTGGTCTCGTATATTCGTCTTCGCCAGGATTGGAATTTACGGCATCACTTGTAACCTCTAATTTTGTCGTTTAGTGAAAATCGGTACCCTATTCACTATCATTCTTTTATAAAAATTCTACATCATCCCGCTTTCATAGCAAAGCAATAATCCTTTCAGTAGAGTGCATTCGCATCTGATTTACGTCTCTCATGATGACAAGGTTATGATTGTGAGCGTGAAGCTGACTGGAGCCATTCCTTGTGGACTGCTAACACTCATACGGCGTGGGTTTAATCCTTCAACATGTTTTGCACATGTGCACAGAATTGCTTACCCATTCAAACATATGGGGTTGCCAGTGCATAGTTCTCACTGAGCCAGAATTCTTTCTTCCTTCCGATTCGGATGATCTGGAGGCTATCGTGTGCTTCTGACAACAAGCTTTTAATTTTCAGGGTGAGGCGACTGACCCAAAATTTATATCGGCCATTAAACCGCGCTTTTTCTCTCTATTTCAGCACAGTTTCTCATCATGTGCGAACAATATGATTTTGAATTCCGGAGATTGTGTCAAATATGCAAAATCAATTATATTTGTACGATGAACATGTAAGAAGGACAGCATTGGCAATCCGACACAGCCCCATACACAACACACACGCTTGCGCCTTGAAGGAAGATTAGATAGGAATGCGACAAAATTAAAAAAGATTTTATGGTGAAGTAGAAGCTATAAAGCTGATATATCAACATTGGCTGAACTAAGGTTTGACCCAGGGAAACCTTGAGATACCTGAACTTGAAGTTTCGTTGAGTCCCCCGCAAATGACTGGCTCGCTCCACTCACTCTAAATGGTAAAGATAAGTCGGTCTGAAGACCAGTGTGAATTTCATGAAGGAGCTATCATTTTTTCTATATACTGTTTAGCACATGAATTTCATCACTCTGTTGCAAGAGTGCCATCACTCTGAATCTGATTAGTACATGAATGAACAATCACTCTGTACTGATTAGTACATGTAAAAGAAAATTTGCACTGATTAGCACATAAGCCATTCGAGGCATCATCCAATAAAATCACATTTAAGCCTGTGCTATTTGTAGCCACAATGCACGTAAAAAATTCATTTAGTTTGCTGAACAACTTTTTTAGTGATGTAACGACGAAGTTGCCGTTACACTCCCACAAGAAGAGCATTTGAATTGTAAACTCCTAATCAACAAATGTTTAGAAAATTGACTCAATAACCACCTATGTAGAGCGGGACATCGACACTAAGTATCGAATACGGCTTTAACAAGAGAGTCTATATACAAAGTAAATTGTAGGTGAAAACAATATTGACGTAACCATCTACCAAAATTACCTTTTTAAAAATGCTTTGCATGAGGGCTTCATGAAATGTATTATTCATTTCGTTTAAGTTTAAATTAATTTTAAAAAATATGTATTTTCATAACAGCAGGACAAAACTAACAGTGTAAGTTTCTCTAAATTTTCTTGATTTTGCTCTTGGTTGGAGCAAACTAACCCAACCTCTGTGCGAATTTATCTCTTGAATCGATGCATCTTCTGTGCATAATGCACGGCCACTCCGTTGCACTTGGTAGCATTAGCGCAAATTCCACGAATGAGTCCTGAAAAGGTTTCATCTGTGAGAGTGGAACCCGAGATGCTTGAATACGACCCCCAGGACAATACGTCACACTTGGAAATTTATATCTGTTGTTAGATGTAAATATGGTTGGTCAAGAGCCAATTACAGCTATGAAATTGAGCTAGTGAGAACCTCCATGAGCGCTCCAACCGGGCGTCAGTGGGAGTACAAATGGCACACAACGTGCGGCTGCTGTTGCTGAGCGCCCAAATCGTGAATAAAAAACGGAGACTTGGTATGGTCACAAATCTGACCATATTTTAGACTAAGCGTCTGCGCGTCGCGCTCGCGTCACCAATAATATTGCGGGAATGTGCACTAACGTGTAATACCTCTGTAAGATATGCTTTCCCGACAAAGAAAAATAAGAAGCGACGTACAAAAAATACAACCGGGTGCATTGAATGCGAGAATCAAAGTTTTATCTACTCTTCAGAAAAGGTGAGATCCATCAAAAAAAATCTGGAATCAACGACTCGATTTGCCGCGATGGTATCACGTCTTCTCCAAGAGGCGGTAACATTTACCATGTTTATGAAGCACTTCAGATAGATAAAGCTTGTACCCAGCCCTTCCGAATCCACCCTACCACTTTTGAGGAATCGATGGGTATTGAATTCTATTCTAAGTAATGTTTTCGTGCCGCGATGGCGCGATGGGATACCAAAAGTGGATGCTCTATTAGCGCGTGAGAGGTGATGAACCTCAGTCATGCTAGTACGAGAGATAGTGGCCTCTCAGCACCGGGCAGCTCCGCGGTACGCGTATGTCTTCTTCGCTTTCGACCTGAGGGATACGAAGGGTAAGACGTTTGCGCGAAATCGACCGATGACCTTCTTTTGGCGAAATATCGAGTCTCAGTACGCTGCACAGCGCCTTCTGGGAAAGGACTGTACTTCGTGGAGTTCGTGGTCAGCAATCCTCAGCACAAAAATGGAGCGATTTTTTTAAAAGAGAAAGAGTCACCTGCCCAGGGTTGTTGATTGTTAATATCTTATTGAAGTCGTGAATAGTGGTCTAATTTGAAGCGACGTGCAATGATGTACGACGTGAGACCGTCGGTAAACAATACACGAAGGTTTTAGTGATGCCAATTACGGATACGATATATGTGACGGGACACTGGTAAAAGCGTCAACGATTATGCTGATTTTTTAATTAAGTTTAACGACTTTGTCAATGTGGAGTTTTGCCGAACCCTTGATATGGATTTAAGATATGAATTCATCCTAGGTATAGCGCTGTTTGTCGCTTTGAGCCATGAATATACTGCAAGTCGTCCCACCGTTTAAGTAAGGCTCTACGCATTTGTATCCTTTTGAAGCTTTGATGTGTCTTGTCTTCATCTCTGCCAAGAAGAAGAAGTGCAGAAGTGCTTTTAACGCCGGCTCGAGTAGGACATAGAATTGGCCGACTTGACTAGCACTTTTCTTATGCTTCCAGCAGAGTTTGGAAGGCTAAGATGACAGTGAGCCGCGTTTCCAGGCTCAATTATAGCGAATCAATCATACTGAGCGGTCTCTATAGTGTTTCTGGGTTGAGACAGAAAAATTGGCAGTATTTCGAGGTCCTCAGGCTTATTCGGTAAACAGAGCGAAAAGTACAAACGTTTGAATGCCATGGTCCCGTGTCAGAGTCAGTAGAATTAAAGATCGTCTGTAAGCTGCAAGAAGAAGCGCCAGGCCCTGAAAGAATTAGATATGACTTATTATTGTGACGATGCAACAGTACCACAGGGTAGCCAGCTGTGTGACGCACCCATCGTGCGCAGAAGTGACGCTCCACGGGTATTCAAATGATAATATTAAGTACGAACGAACGGAGTAACTGGATAGTCTTAGGGGTTTGTAAGTCCCCCCTCGCTACCTCCGTCGGTGGCCTTGACGATCAAGAGAAATTGCCCCACGGGTTACGTGCAAAGAATCGCAAGACGATGACTTCCGTTGAATACTGATGGATGAGCTGGGATGTCATCCATGATGGATGAGTATATTATTGAGGGCACAGATTTCTCGCGACGTGATGACCACGCGTGATGTTTTAGAACCGGATGGTGCGTCATGACTGACCGGGTGCTTTGAGCCATAATGCCTAATGATACATCAGTAATCTTTTCCTATAAATAAATTGACGTTGGAGACGCTTTCTTTCGTGCGAACGCACGAAGCGTAATTGGTTAAAGGCAGTCAATCGCTTCATCCGTCGATTTTATCTTTCCGAAAACATAACGGCAGCATATCAATCGTGACGGCACAAAATAAGATAAATACAGTCAGAATTTCGACCCAAACGCCGATCTCAGAAAAGATTGTCTGCAGAGAGACATGGTCAGATCCACCTTGATCAGTGTTCTTGAGCTAATCAGCTAATTAATATGTAATCCTAACTGCCAAAGAGAGATATTTTTCTGCGGAGTCTTCTTCGAGCAGGACGCTCGAGGAGTCTCTGTATGTGTTACAGGGACTGTCGAACGCACTTGCGACGTTCAATCTTTCGGTGACGCAGCTGTTCAGGCTACATAGTGACTATGCTGAAATTATTTTTGACGCCATTATTTCATCGATCGTGCAAGTTAAATGTGGAGAACCACATTAACATTTGCTAGAAGTGTTCGAATGTATGCATTCCTGTATGTTATTCTTCAGTTTAGCCTAGTGTGTCTTTTGCGCCGAACAAATTACCCTTCTGGGCTGTTTCATGGGGCAAACAGGCGCTTTTCAAGGCTGTAAGAGAAAGCCTAAAATAATTTTTAGATCTGGTCCTTTCAAATACAGATTAGCTACATCGTTGTTGCTACAACTTTGTGATGGACTGTGTAATACCCCAAGCAGATGCCCTCGATCACGATTGATTTTTATTAAATCAAATAAAAAAACTAACCTTCTCGCAATAGAAGTCTACTTAGAACGAAGCTTTCTTCGCCAAGTTCAGGGCGCAGCAGGCTGCCTCTAAGTCCTTTGTAAGCTACACAGATTATCCGGTTTTGCGCACTGCGGCGTCGTCACCGTATCTTGCGGATAATTGCATGATAGTTTTCCTTCTTTGCCGAGTTTACCCTCGCGTTAAAGTATAAGCTTAATCGGCTTGATGTGTTGACAGCTGCACTTTCGTATCGACCTAACTATGGTTTGTTGCGTATCTCAATGTTGACGTTGCTCGTTGAAAAGGCGATACGTAAAATGTTCAGGTTAGCCGCAACATGTGCAGCTTTGTCGAACGTTATCAACAGACGAAAAAAATTGATGTTGTTTACCGAAGATAGTAAGTTTCCATCGCAATTCCTAATTTCAAAGCTATCGATTGCACAATTCTTGGCAGAGACTTTTATCAACATGGCTTGCCGGGGATCATTATCGAATATCAAATTATGCGCTTTACAGCGAATGTTGGCGAGCTTTGTTTCAGGCGCTTGGGTAGATGAAACATGTCGACCGTAGACTATCGCCGGACAGATGCTGGGCCAAAATTAGTTAATTATCAAGGTGAGAAGGAAATCCTACAATTATCGCGCGAGCTGTGCGGGTCTCATCATCTGGCGCCGACATCTTCCTACAGCTTCATTGGCACTGCCGCCTGGTTATGCTCTTCATCCTAATATTCCCTTTTGCTGCAGCTGTTCTCGCTTGTAGCTTTGTCGTACTAGCAGACAACAATCAGTCCATTGAGAGCGCCGAAGAATGCTATTTAAAGGCAGCGTTTCCCTAGCAAAATTTACTCGTGGACAATGGTGCAAGAAGTTTTGTGTACACTTTGAAGAGAAGGCAATTCGACCCAAGTGTAAAGTCTACAAAAATGTCGGTTCCCATTGGCTGATGGGTAACGCAATCCAACAGACAACCCTTGCCACTTCCCCGGAGGATATTAAAGCTTCAGATCGTATAAGTCAACGGCCTCAAGAAAACTTTGTACTCAAACTTTCTTTATGTGGTAGCATCCCTTCGATTTCACCAGATATTGGAAACTATTTTGTGCCCGCTACTAAATTAAAGTGAAGCATCCGTTGTTGATTGGACAAAGCCGACAGATGATGACCTGCCCACAGCTGGCTTGCGTAAGCTGTCCGGGTCTGGAGCCACGTCGACTCTTTTACATTCTCGACTTGCGGTCCATAACGTCTTGAAAAAGCTTACCGATCTATTCTATCACCCCGGGTGGTATGAGGATTGGATCCGTGCCGCTACAATAGAGTAGAGGATAGCTCAACTGCAAATATGGGAAGAAGCTGACCCGATCAAAATAAAGCGTTTCACGTCCGATAGGCTCGTAGGAACGAAATCGTGTTAGAGCTTCTGTAAGCCCACATGGAGTAAAAAATGTGTTTGCATTTGCTTCAGAGAAATGTTATCCTTAATACTTTTCGCTACGATCGTGAGTAGTGCAATGTAGCATGGTCGCATCGTAGTCTCATAAAACACAGACGCTGTATCTATAAATAGGTATAATGCAGCCAACAATCAAATTTCATGCTTTTCTTGCCTCTGGCATTGACTGTTGCCGTACCGTCGCGCACCGACACACAAAGATCGATAATATAATGATAAAACCATCACATTTTCTACGCAGTGTAGCAGGGCTGAAAACAGTAACTTAAACTCGCAAACCTTTGCTCACATAGATCGGAGCAAAATTGTGGTGATGTTCAAGTAACTCAAAGATTGATCAGCTAACTTAAATTGAATTTGGAGTAATACCCACAAAAGCATGCACTGTTTTTTTCAGCGCAAACTCAATGAACAGCAGCAACTTGCTTCAGGACCTCGGCCTCTCCGCGCTAGAGCTTTGGAGGGTATCTCCCTTGCATTATTAGCCAATTTGCCTGACCATCTGTATGCGAATGCTCAGCGATTAGCACACAAAACCTAGTGTCTATCATCTTGATAAAAAACGCCAAAGCAGTTTCGTGGAGCACGCATCTCGGCTCGACACGATGGTTCGTGTTAGCAAAAACTCCTTGTCGAGGGACAATTTAGCTGTATTGTTAACGGTCGCAGCATTGTTGACAACAGCGAGATAAGCCATTTTGTTTAAACGGGTTACGAGGCCGCAATACCGGTGTAATCGGGTGCGTTTCTCTTGAAGGACTAAAAATGATGTTCGTACTTATGGACTACCAACACTACCGAAATCCGCAGACCAGTTAAAGGCGCCGCCACGTTTGGCGAGGATTTAAAGTTTTGGCACATTCCACACGTGCACCCGTATGTGCTAACCCATTCATACCTACTGGGCCTCCAATGAATAGCGTTTACCAAACAGTATGTATCTTCTCTTTAGAGGTGACCATCCTCAATGGAGTGTCATGTGCCTTATACGTTACTGTCTATTTCAGATATTCGTCGTTAGGTGAAACTATAAATTTTGCGTCAAGTGAGTCAGCAAGCCTTGAAAAAGTAGAGCAGAGCAATCTCTCTACCAACGCGTTAATGAAGCGACATCTGTCTATTGTTTTCCCAGCATTCAAAGGTGCAGCACATGTTGCAGCTGATCAGTACGCCTTACGCATTATTTTTTTCAGGAACAGTATTCCGATTTGTAATAACTCCTCCCTTTCTCGGCCTGAGACAGCGGCTTGCTGCCGCTGTTGTCTTCCGAGCTCTGTCCCAATTGCTTATCAACATCGCTCCCAGACAAGTCGAGCAATCCCATGTCCTGTACAGCAGCTATTGCGACTTTGTGCCCATGCTACAAGCGTATATAACTCAGATACAATATATAACTCAGAAACAAATACGTTGTTATGTTGTTATGTGGTGTGCCTTGCAGTTAGTCCATGACTCATAGCAATCAAGCCACACCATATCTAGGATGTGTTCAACATCAGATCCAGGACCAGACAACGTTCCACACAATCAAAGTCATCAAACTTCGCCTGATGATTTCACATAACCTTCGACATACTGGCTGTAGTCCCGCTGCAAGACGCACAAATATCGTTTTAACCTTCAATGCCTCCGCGTGCTTTCAACGTTTTTCGACAGTTGCACGTTGTACATCAATGCATGACTCTTCTAATTCTATCAGGAATTCTCGCAAATTCAAAAAGATATTAACTAACAGCAGCCCTGGGCTGGAAGGCTTACCTCTCTTAGATAGCAGGGCTGGATTCCATTAATCACAAACTCCACGAGATACAACAGAGCGCCATTCCTTTCATTGGGTTCTAGCGGTCTACTGGGACTCATTTTCACCAAAAAAGATTCATCGGACAACCTTACGTGAAAGTCCAACCTTTTGTACCTCTTGATCGGAATCGAATGGGCACGCTAGGTGCAGCTGTTTTGAACAACACATTAGTAATAATACACAAATTGTGGAGCTTTCTGATCTCTTCTTTTTCACAATGAATGAGGTCATCGCTTTTTGGTGCGCTCGTAATACTTCCACTTTTGGTGCACCATCCTGCCCTCGCTACACGGAACTTAACCTTTGCATTAAACGCGACACCTAGCGCTTCCTTACTAGAGGTTGGGTGGATGTGAAATGTAACGGGGATACGCATACCTTTTGAGCCAGGGTGGGTCGCACAAGATTGTGCGACCGTACGTAGGTGTGCATTACACGAGTTGGTGTAATCACACAGTGGTGTGGCCACACCGTAACAAGAAGCCACCACGTGGCAGGATTGCCAGTAGTAGTGCAAATTACTATACTAACTAGGTTTTGCTATATTAATTAGGTATAACCATATTATCTAGGAAAACCTAGGGTTTTAGAGATAGCGAATTGTGTCCGCTACACTCGTACTGTCATGAAAAGGTCGTTGACCTTAACTTAGCAAAGAGTTACGGCAGCCCCGCTGCACTTGATAGCACCTGTAGTCAATCAACGCTTGAGTCGTTACGACGGATCCTTTGTGAGGTGAGAAATCTTCCTTTTTGCTCCAGGGCATGCAGGACGAGCTTACTATAAGCTAATGACACTGCTGGGCCCAGAGGACGTGGAATACCTCGTTGCGCAAGGGCCCGAGGCCATAAGCGCGCGCCTAGATGTGTTTTCAAACTATAAATATGCTCGATGGGAGCACTTACAGCAGAAGCTGTCAGCAGCGACAGCGTCTATGACACGACTATCGACGACGAATGACTCCTTCCGACCCAGGCCGCTTATGGTAAGCGTTAAGACTTTTGAGGGAGAGGATGGAGAAAATCTCTTTCTCTGGGTGAGAGAGCCCGAGATGGCTATGGCATTTGCCATGCTCCAAAACGAGCAACAGCGCTTGGCGCTAGCTATCTCCAAGCTCGGAGTTCGAGAGAGAGAATGGGCACTCCCGTGTGGTGCTTCGGTTGAAGCTGCGTTCCCTCCTGGAAATATCCCAAGCGTCAGCTTTTGCGAATGTTCTCGCAACCTTAATAGGCATACCATGTGAGATCGCCTTTCCTTGCTGCCCGACAGGGCAAGAAGGCGTTGATAAACTTTGTCTAGGATTGAGAACTGTTATTACTGGCAGCAGATCCCCCCCCCGAGGTGTTCGCAGTGACCATTTTTATGGAGGGCATCCGCACTGGAGTGGCCAGAATGGAAGTCTTCCGTTTGCATCCGTCTTCTTCTGGAGAAGCGGTAAGCGTGGCATTGAATGCCGACTTTAACTTCAAGTTGGCACGACTTGGCTGGAATGCAAAGACTCAGAGCTCGTCGAGCGGGCCTGAGCCAATGGATCTTAGCTTTACTAAGAAGGAGGTGGGAGAGCTCCAAGCTGCTGGGCAGCGTGTAAGCACCAAACGGTGTTTTGTCTGTGGATACACCCGGCTCCTTCGAACGAGTTGTCCCTCGCGCAAGGCGCGTAGAGGTTCGTCGAACCGATGTCCCGATTCTTACCGGTCTGACTAAACGCCGGGAAGCGAGAACACCTAATCGGCGCGGGGCGCCATACTGAAAAAAAGATTTCTGTTGTGCCTCAAAGAAGTAGAGGGTAGCAGAAACCAGCCCCGGCTTTTGAACACGGAACGTGTGTACAAGCCGGGCTTGCTGGTCGTATGAAGGGCTTTGATAAGCCATGGAAATACTTCTCGATTCTGGTACGCCAGGAAGCTATACTCGACGCTCCACGAACGAAGAAAGTCAGCTGT